TAATTTTTCTTTAAAAAAAAAAAATCCTATGTCCCTCTTTTTTATTTAGCTTGTACTATTTTAAACTTGAATTGCTGGTGCTCTTCAAGTTAGATATCCCACCATTCTTTCAGATAAACCAGTTGACCAATTCCCTTCAGTTTGCATTCATTCTGAATGATTGAACAGCCCGGTTGGGAGTGTTCTCCTACTGCCATGGCAAAAGTCCTTGACTAGTACAACTAAGAGAGGGGGAAGTGGTCATCTGATGGACTCATAACCGTATCTAAAGTGACATATGGTCCGAAAATCACAACATCATCGGTGCCACGAGTTCCCATCACTACACTATTTAGCCTCCCTTTGTGAGCGAAAGTAAAATCACTACAAACTATTTGTGCATTCAACGACTTTAATGCACACCTTCCAGCCGATCAGAATCTAGTATTCAGACAGACCGTGGTATTAATGTTTTTAAAACTGTTTTATTTAATATTCATATGATGTCACAAAAATGGATTTTCAACATCCTATTCCCAGCTACAACTGCAGACGAAGAGAAAAAAATAAAAGAGAAAATCTGAAAATGCTGATCTGCTGCTCGTTTTCAAACCAAGCAGAACCAACCAACACATTATATTTCAGATGAACATGAGGAAATTAAAGCACTTGAACTTCATGGAGGTCCTCGGTGCTTGTAAAAAGAAAATGGTTCCCCAGAGTCTGTGTGTCTCAGTGAAGTCCAGTGAACTGCTCTCTGATGCTCGTTCTCTAAATGAGTCTCAGCATCGTGTCAGACACACGCAAAGAAAGCCTGCTGGCCGCCGGAGCTCAGAACTTCAAGCTGAATCCTGGACCAGCTTTGGAGGCACCCTGGTTAGCAGTGGTCAAATGGAAACCAGTATCTTTAAGATCATCATCACCCTGAAGAGGACAACAGAGAGATGAGAATGAGAAACAATAACCAGGAGTTTTAGGAAGACAAACATGACGACACGAGAAGACAAAGAGCTGAATTGTGCCTCCTCTTGGTCAACAGAGACAGAACTGATTGATTTCAAACAGTGTGAAGAAAGCTGCAGTGCAGCATGAATCTAGCTTTGTTCTTCAGAACAACATGCGCTGCTGAATCATGTACTGATTTCATTTTCTGATTTCATGTGGACTGTACCAGCTGGCTGAAGTCCTGTCCTCCCTCCGGCGGTCGTGGGCTCGTTCCTCTCTTCACCCGCTGCTGTTCGCTCTTGGCCGGCCATGTGGGGAACATGGAGGGCTCGATGGGGAGCGGCGACTCCCGGAAATACTCCTGTTTAAGTGCCTCATCGGCACTGATCCGCTTGGCAGGGCAGTACGTCAGAAACCTGAGACAGAAAGCAGACATGTAAGAAAAACTGTCAACAGCAGCTGATGTGGAAACTGCTACTGTCTTGCGTCACTGTAGGAACGATAAACAAAGGAGCAAGGTTAAATTGACACAATGTATATATAATGGTACTGGGTATTTTTGCAAATTATCAATTAACATCTTGTGAAGTGGAAAGCTGCATGTTTGTAACAAACAAACCCATAAAGACATTTTAACTTCAAACCGTTGCTTAAAATATGAGCCCATAATCCATAATAACTCTTCCTCCAGTGAAAAAGTGCATCTCCTGTTGTCTCTCACATCAAAATCCAGCCACATATTCGTTTAGAGCTGCTTAAACGGTGCTTGATCTGTGCAGATTTCTCTCCTGATTCAGACCAGAACACTTTTCACTGGAGGAAGCGTTATTATGGATTATGGACATTAAACGTCTTAATGCTGGATTTGTTTCAGCTTTTGTCTTCTCCATATGTTAACTGATGGACTGGAGTGCTGTGGATTATTGTGATGTTTGGATTCTCATTCTGACGGCACCCATTCACTGCAGAGCATCCATTGCTGAGACACTGATGCAATGCTACATTTCTCCAGATCTGATGAAGAAACAAACTCATCCTAAACTGGGATGAACTGAGAGTGAGCACATTTTCAGCAGATTTTTATTTTTGGATGAATTATTCCAGTGACTATACAGCCTGCTCTCAAACTTGATGGACACAAAGCAAAAGATCAGATAGCAAATTAATGAATTTGGCATTGGAACTAAAGAGTTTCACATTATATAACTCTTCTCAAAACAGTGCAACATTAGAAATTGGCCTGGATGAGGCACGTTTAAGCTGCTGTGAAGAAGCAATACATGAGCGCACGATGGAGTCTTAAATGTCTTTCCTCTTTCGTCTCCTGTGTGTGTGTCCCCTTTCCTCTGCTGCTCTCTCATATGAATGTGGTATTCGCAGCCAGGCTGTGATGGTGCTTTCAGGCAGGCCGTGACCTTTCAGGGCCATCTGTGAGCATCAGCATCCTTTACATCAGGGCCTCTTAAACTTTGGAAACAAGAACCCCTTGACAGATTTCAACTTGAGAAATAAACCGAAAGCCAGAAATGACTGAAATCCAACAGACATCTCATAGCAACGTTCAGATCGATGGCTGTTTATTTCCAAATGAATGATTCACGTTCAATCACACTGCTGCTAATGACGCACAGGCTCAATGACAAGGTTTGTAAATATCCAGAAATGCTTCAGGAGGTTTCCAGAACCAACGTTAAATTAGCTCTTCTGAGTCTTTTGTTTTTAACTCCAGTGTTTCATAACGTGAAGCAGTTGCTTCTACACTGATGCAGCACTTCAGCAAAACAACAGCAACAAAAACGCAGGCACTTTCTGTCCGTGCATAATAATGAGTTTCAGTGCCGTCACGTGTGCATTTGCTCCACTCAACCTTTTCATACCTCGCAAAGGTTTGATTTTCAGCTGATTTACCACCAGTATAATGTTAGCCAGCTAGCTGACACAGATGAGCTGTTCAAAATGACTCGGGACAGTCTTGGAAGCATCGGTAAAAATTTACTCATCTGTAAATGTTTTGCATCATAAGAAATCGAATTCCAGCAAAAGTATTTTACATTATAACGGTCTAATTCCAGCTTCGTGTTAACGGAACTTTATTTCTAGTAAATATAAAAATGAATTATTCAAATGAAGCAGTGTGTTGAATGCGGTGGGCTGTGTGAGCTCTTACTTGTTCATGAGGTCAAAGCCCTGGCCAGACAGCAGCGCTCCGAAGCGCTTGCGCAGGTTATTGTAGGGATATTCTGTGAAAGTCATCTTCTTCACCGCAGGCAGCTCGCTGTATCCCGGCCAGATCTTCTCACTGGGAGAGCCCAAGTCCTACACACGTACACACACACACACACACACACACACGATGTCATGTCAGGTCCTCCAGTACATTAACCGTTTAAAGCGTACATATTACGCTCCTCTGTTACAATGCATTTATCTGATTTAAACTCGTGATTTTTCTCATACTGTACTTTGTTGCAGCACCTCTTTTCACCCTCAGCCTGAAACGCTCTGATTTAGTTCCTGTCTCTTTAAAGCCTGCTTTTCTGAAAAACTCTGCTGATTGGTCAGTCTGTTGTGATTGGTCAAACGCTTAGAGCGTGTGCTGGGAACGCCTCTTACCATGATTGTGTTTCAGCCCCCAAGGCTTCATGAGCAGCTGTAAACAGCATTACTGTACTGTATCTGTAATAAACTACGGCGTCACTATTGGAAGTCCATACGATGCGTTTTTGCCCTTGCAGAGAAGAAAACAGCATCTCCAACAGACAGTTTTCATCAGTTCTTTACATGATTCCCCACCCAAACTAGAGTGATTTCACTGGTGATCTCTTTCAGTGACACAGACGTATATAAAAAACAACACCCACTGGGCGATTCTTTGACTGTAACGCACACCAGCTGTGATTACCCCGATTATATCATGATCACTTGCAGCGTGGACAAGTTAAAGCGGTTATTAACGTTTGCAGCGCAAAATTTGACTGAACGGATAAACAACAGTACTTATTTTCTCTACCGCTCGTTAGATCTAGAATTCAGAAGTGAAATAAATTAATGTGGTAAGAGTTAATTTATTTGAATGTGTTTTGAGAGCGAGATTGTGAATTTTCTGTCTGTGCAGCCTCTCTATATAGTGAAGCTGTCAGTTTAATTACTTCAAAAACAGTGACATTATCATCTTGCTGGAAAATATAGTCTAATGTAGCTTTTAGAGCACAGACAAAGCCTGAGTTTGTTTATATGAAGAGATTTCTTTAATTTGTGTTATTTATTTGATTTAGGGCTTTTTAAAATTTCAATGTAGTTTTGTTATTTACATTTACATTTTAGTCATTTAGCAAACACTTTTGTCCAAAGCGACTAACCAATGAGGACAATAGAAGCATAATAATCGTGAAGCGAATCGTGAGTTGAGTGAATCGTTACATCCCTAGCTTTTAGTAGTGAAGATATTTAATTTTTTTTTTTTTTTTTTTGCAGCGGCTAAAATGCTTTCTGTGCTCCTGAATGTTTCTGTGTGCGCGCAATCTCTTACTGATAGATACAAAGTTTCTGCCTCAGCGTGCAAGTGTATACAGAAAACTGGTAATACAACAGAGTCAAGTTATCTTTTTATCAAGTTATTGGTTGGAATCCCAATGGGATACTGTTATACGTGTTTAGATGCAGATATCGGATATGTATCTGATTAAAAAAACACATTGGGAAGTGGCTCAGACCAGAATAAACAAACAAATAAAAATCAGATCTTGTGCAGATTTTTGTATTTACATGTATTCAACGATATCTGATCTGTGTCACATGTGAGTAAAGAAAATCATTTTGCATTATCTCTGCATACTTCTACTACATACTAACAGTGAAAGTAGTGGAGTGTATGCTTTTGAGTGGTTGCATGCATCATAATCAGGTCAAAAAGCTGGGTCTATATCACAGTCTTCATTGACATTAGCAGACATTTATTGAGTATCTATCTGTATCTAGGCCCCCATTCAACATAGTAAGTTTTGGGCTGCACAATTCCAAATATAGCATTCTATACAGCACTTTGTGTTTGCATGGGAAAACCTGTAAATGAATATGTAAATGCTGTAAAACAAGTGTTTATTTGCCATTATTAAACTGTATATATGGGCCACAAAGCTCTCCAAATACAGTCATCAGCCAAGAAAAACCAGTCAGTCGACCACTAATCGGAGGTGTTCGAAATATTCCCATCATACTGAGGACTCGTCCGCTCAACCAACATTAAAAAAACCCCTAAATGTTCATGGATATGATTATCAGCAGCTGCACTTACAGATCAACATCAACACTTCTTCCTGATGAGTTGATAATAGTGCTTATCAGAAAGCAGAAAAATATCGGTTTAATTGACTCGAGACATTCAGGATGTGATGAAGCATACCTTAAAAACTTTGTTGATTTGATCAATCTCAGATTTGCCAGGGAATAAAGGTTTCTGCGTGAGCAGTTCTCCAAATATACAGCCGACTGACCACATGTCCACAGCTGTGGAGTATTCCTGAGAGGAGGAAACACGAGAGCGATTCAAACAAGACGGCTAAACATCTGAGTCCATCGACAGCCTAGTGAGCAACAGTGACTGTCCACCAGCTTTAAAACGTGAAATCAGCTTTCACACATAGTATGAAAACTATCATTTACAAACATTCAAAACAAAACATTTCAGTACAAGAACCAATATATCTGACACTTACTGTAAAGAAACTATATATCTGCTGTATTCTATGACTATAGCAACTTCTCTGACGGACAGATCTGTCTTCTGGTTTGCAAATGTGGTATTTTTTGTAGATTCTACAGAAGCATCATTTAGAACTTAATCTCTGAGCTCATGGTCTGTCTTAAAGGCTTAGTTTTGTTAAAAAATCAGAACAAACAAAAAATGGCGGGAACCAATATCTGGGTCGATGTCACTGATGTCGTCCACTGACCTTTGCCCCCAGCAGCAGATCAGGTGAGCGGTACCACAGTGTGACCACGACTGGAGTGTAGGGCTTGAGCGGAGAGCCGTACTCTCGAGCCAAACCAAAGTCTCCGATCTACAGAACACATTCACATGCTAGTTAATATCCTGCATCATTATTAAAGAACACTACTAACACGGCGATAGCTATAACACAGTGTGAACTCAGCGGATGACGACTGACCTTTAGAATGCCTTTGTGGCTCAGCAGCAGGTTGGAGGTCTTCAGGTCACGGTGAAGGATCCAGTTGTCATGGAGATGACGGACACCTCTCAGCAGCTGGATCATCAGCGTTTTGACCTCGCCTGCGCAGGAAACAGAAGAGAACCGCCTCATTATGGCAAAGATGTCAGTGCAACATGATGAATTATTCTGCATGCTTTAGGGTCATACCGGGCAGAAAGGGCTGTTTCATGGTCTCCATCAGACTCTTCAGATCATGCTCCACGTAATTCATCACTATGTAGATTTTATCCATATTACTGCCCACGACGATCTCCTACAGCAGGCAGAAAGCACATGCACGAGAGATTCAGTCACACCCGAAACACGCTTGAGCCTTTCAAGGAAACCACCATTAAAAACCCAGTTCATTAATAGTATTTTAACTGGCTTATAAAGGCATTATCACCGTCTAATTAAAATGATTAGTGTTCATTTCAAAGGAGGTGTTAAGAATGTATAATCTATTAAATAATTAGATCCATGCAATAAAGTGAAATGCCTATTGTCAGGGTTTCTGCAGATAAATGTAAGACTTTAGGACCATGTATTGAATAAACTAAAGGGAACACAAGTCGATACGGTCTCTAAATGTAAATGTCTTACATTAGAAATGCTTCAAAGTTTGAAAACAAAACTTTAACAGATCTCCATTACTTAACCCCACCCCCCCTATTTTTGTCATGTTTTCCAGTGCAAATATCTCCAGACTCTTAAATCAAGATACACCTGAGAAGCAAACGGAGAGAAACTGATTGAAATTATGTGCGTTCATGATTAAAACAAAAGCAAATACTGTGTCTGCCAATGGGCTTTTCATTATACCCCGCTTACAGACATTTGTTCTCATTTTAAGCATTAACTAACTTCATTTTGTTCAGTTTTTGAAAATGCATCACATGCATGTATATATTTGTATTGGAAATGTGATTGCAATGCACGCAACATTTATTAATGCCACGACTGCATGAATTCAAGACTTTCTGCTCTTTTTAAGGCCTTGCATTATGAACGGATGAATGAAGACTTTTTAGCCCTGCAGAAACCCTGATCTAAATGAGAGCTATTCTTTACACAGTGAACGCTAGAGTGTTTTCTGACCCGGACGGTGACGATGTTGGGGTGCTGGGCCTTCAGGATGGTGTTGATCTCTCTGAGGGAGGTAATGGGAAAGCCCTCCTTCTCCTTCTCCATCTTCAGTCGTTTCAGGGCCACGATTTCATCCGTCTTTTTGTCTTTGGCTCGGTAGACGACGCCGTAAGTGCCTTCTTCAATGCGGTTCAAGCACTGGAACTCCTCCACGCTCCGGCAGCCCTGCACACAGCGGGACACCAGCTCACACACCTGCGCTGGAGTGAGCGTGAAAGCTGACAGCTGTGTGCGAGCGTGTGCACCTGTAAAGCCGGCAGGTATTTGGGCAGCTCTCTCTTCAGCTCTACGGGCGAGATGGGCGGCGATTCGGGGACGTAGTTGTCTTCAGGAGTGGCTGAATGAGAGGGAGACTGTGGGGTGACGTCTCCCGCCTCCTCAGCTCCCTCTTCTTCCTCTTCCTCACCGCTCACCTCCGAGTCATGATCGAACCGGGACTCTGGAACTGTCACAGCAACACGACACATAGCACACACAGACTAATGCGAAAGATATTTGACGAGAGTAAATTATCATATCAAATTATACCTTTAAAGTCACAAAAAAATAAAGCACTGTTGATGAAATGCTCACTGGGAGGAATGTGGATTCCATTCTCTCTGTCCTCTTCTTCCTCCTCTGACTGTTCTTCATCACTCATGGCAGCTGAGAAAGATAAAGTATGTACACATAGGAAAGTGCATAATGATTCATGCACTATACACATACATGTGTGATGGTTATAATGCTCAGCGCTTCAAAAAACAACACCATTCTTTGATGCAACGTGAATAGTTCTAAATGTAATGCTGCAATCAACGCTTTTCATTCATTTTTACATTTCACTTTAATCATGACAGTCGTAACAGATTCAGTTTAATTGTACACTGTACACAATCTTGAAATCGGTGGGCATTTTTGTTCATTTGGGTGGCAGTGCCTGTTAATTCCCAACCCTGATCAACAAAAGTTATAAATAAACTGAATATAAAAAGAAAGAAGAAATTCCCTGATGACTGATCTACATTCATTACTCAAATCAGCTGTAAACAGCAGCGAACACACACACTTTCTACAGTGGAAATCAGATATCATTCTGAGTATGGGATCCTTGCCACTGTTGCCTTTGACTAGCTTAGTTGTTTTTTTTGAGACGCTTAATATTCAGCAATATCACTGAAACTATCAGATGACAACAAAACCTGAACTGAGATGAGCTGGATCATGACACTGTTGCTTTCTGCTTTACAGCTTAATCAAATTTGCTCCTAATTGATGAGTTTTGCAACATTAACCCAGTTATTGAACTGAATTGAATCAGCTCTGAACTGACTTGAGCTGAATGATGACACTACTGTCTTGTTAATTTGATGAAGTCTGCATCATTGATTCTGTTGTTTTCCTGTTTCTCTCTGTGAAGCTGCTTCGACACAATCTGTACTGTATAAAGTGCTATATAAATAATGGTGACTTGACTAGAACATATCACGGGTCATTCCATGATTTGAAGCATTTTTCTTTATCTAACCCAGGGCTGTCCAAACTCGGTCCTGGAGGGCCGGTGTCCTGCAGAGTTCAGCTCCAACTTGCCTCAACACACCTGACTGGAAGTTTCTATGCCTAGTAAGAGCTTGATTAGCTGCTTCAGGTGTATTTAATTAGGGTTGGAGCTAAACTCTGCAGGACACCGGCCCTCCAGGACCGAGTTTGGACAGCTCTGATCTAACCAGATGACCAACCAGATAAATGGCAGCATGGCAAGATGCTTTGGTACTGTTTTTGAGTCATTTTGTTGAACAAAAACACAGAGAGAACCACAGAAAACCAGACTGAACTAAATCAGAAGATCTATTCAATAAAGTGTGTGTGTGTGTGTAGAGGTGTACCCATCGATGACTCTGGTGTGCTGGTCTTCCTCTCACTGTCACTGATGTCCTGCAGATCAGACAGGGGATTTTTTTCCTCCATCTTCCCCTCCCGCACTGCAAACAAAAACAGCAAGACAGCAGAGTCAAACTTTACTTCTGCAGCGCTTCATACAATACACGTGTCAAAGCAGCTTCACAGAGATGAGCAGGAAAGATGCAGAATCAGTCGGAAACTGGTATGGAACAAATGGAAACATTAGAAACATTAATGTTCTGTCAATGTGCCCTTCAAATAAATACGACTTGATGTGACATGCAGAATTTCTCTTCAGGACATTTACTGAAGGCAGACAGATGAGCTGATGACCGTCCACTGGAAGTCAGGCAGATGTATTTGACGTGAAGTGTACTAGTGATGTATTATCTGGAGGAGGAGCGTAACCTGCTCGCCGCTGTTCGCTGCTCTCTGCTTTAGTCTCTCTCTGCTGACGGACCGGGCTGCGGCTGCGGCTGCGGTGCCGTGAGCGGCTCTTATCTGTGTACTCCTCTCCAGGAGCCCCTCTGTGATGAGACACAGGCCCTGAAACACAGTCAGCCTTCCATTAGTCCACTGTAGCCTTATGTCCGGTCCAGTCGGCAGCTAATTCAGCCCAACAACCACCAACTTCAACACGCAAACACATGGCATTCAGTGGCTATATCTGACATGAGTCTGAAAACAGAGGAGAATATACCGCACTGCAGATCCTGAAACTCATCTTAAAGGAAACAAGAAACCTGTGTTCAATTTAGGGTCCTATGAATGTTTCCCCAAATTCCATGTTTCTCATTTTAATCGTTCTGGATTCCATTTTTAAGTTTAATTAAATGTTCATCAACGAGGTCAAAAATGATATCTAATGGAATTCATAAAACTTTTCCCAATTTAATAATTTATTAAAATGTTAACAATAATAGGGCCCCATGAAAAGTTTAATTTTTTCATAAACACCTTGTTGTCCGTTTGAATTTTTATGGATTTATGATTGAATACAAAATTATTTAAAAAACAGTGGTCCTCAAATGAAGGCATTAACAATTTTAATTAAACGACAATTAACAATTCCTTTTATTTTTTGGCAAATACATATCTGTCATAAGATAAACTGAACGTTTACTTTGGCGGGTTGCAGTTAAGATCTTGTTTGTGTCTGAAGATAGTTGGTGAAGTGACTCTCAGAGCAGCTGCCACTGAATGTGAGTGTGTTTCTCCTGTGTTCACAAGCACATGCTGGGAAATCTAAGTGAAGCGCACAGTTTAGTATGACAGTGGGGCTTTCTGTTTTGCGTTCCTAATACAGCTGCTGTGAGTGTGTGAGTGTGTGGACACACCGTCCCTGCGGGCGTCTCTCTCTTTGCGGCGCTCCTCCGCTCTCCTCTCTCTCTCCTTCAGCTCGCGCTGCTCTCTCTGCTCTTTCTGCTGCTGCTCACGGAGTTTGCGCTCTCTTTCCCGCTGGCGCTCCAGCTGCTCCAGACGATCCCTGCGGATTCACATGAACACACGGGAGTCATCAGGCTAAAGACCAGAGAGCGTCACATGTGCATGAGACCAGATGCATCACAGCGCCGCTCACTGACAGATCAGCTAAACAAGCTTTCTGACACTTAACAGGTTGATGACAACAACTTCCCTCAACAGACGACAACCAACACCTTGCATCATATGAAATTATGCATACCATAAATAAACACACAACCATTCAAAAGTTTGGAAGTATTTTTTAGCAGAAGATAAGTCTCTTCTGCTCACCAAGGCTGCATTTATTTGATTAAAAATACAGGTGCATCGTCTGTGTGCATTGAATTTATTTAATACACGAGTTTCACAATTTGAGTTGAATTACTGAAATAAATGAACTTTTCCATTACATTCTAATTTATTGAGATGCACCTGTATAGTAAAAATAGCAATATTGAGAAATATTATTATGATTTAAAATAACTGTGTTCTATGTGAATATCTGTTAAACTGTAATTTATTTCTGTGAAGCACAAACTGTGAAACATTTTATTTTTCAGGATTCACAGATGAATAGAAAGTTCATAAGAACAGAATTGATTCAAAATAGAAATCTCTTCTAAAATCATAAATATCTTTACTGGCACTTTTGATAAATTTAATTCATCCTGGCTGAATAAAGGTACTAATTTAACGTTTCCCTTATTTATCCCAAACTTTTTAATGGTAATGCATGGCTTTCACAAAAATATAAAGCAGCAAAAACTGTTTTTAACACTGATAATAATAATAATGATTTTTCACAGTATCACTGTTTTTACTTTATATTTGATCAAATAAATGCAGTGTGTGTGAGTGTATGTGTGTGAGTGAGTGAGTGAGTGAGTGTGTGTGTGTGTGAGAGTGAGTGAGTGAGAGTGAGTGAGTGAGAGTGAGTGAGTGAGAGTGAGTGAGTGAGAGTGAGTGAGTGAGAGTGAGTGAGTGAGAGTGAGTGAGTGAGAGTGAGTGAGTGAGAGTGAGTGAGTGAGAGTGAGTGAGTGAGAGTGAGTGAGTGAGAGTGAGTGAGTGAGAGTGAGTGAGTGAGAGTGAGTGAGTGAGAGTGAGTGAGTGAGAGTGAGTGAGTGAGAGTGAGTGAGTGAGAGTGAGTGAGTGAGAGTGAGTGAGTGAGAGTGAGTGAGTGAGAGTGAGTGAGTGAGAGTGAGTGAGTGAGAGTGAGTGAGTGAGAGTGAGTGAGTGAGAGTGAGTGAGTGAGAGTGAGTGAGTGAGAGTGAGTGAGTGAGAGTGAGTGAGTGAGAGTGAGTGAGTGAGAGTGAGTGAGTGAGAGTGAGTGAGTGAGAGTGAGTGAGTGAGAGTGAGTGAGTGAGAGTGAGTGAGTGAGAGTGAGTGAGTGAGAGTGAGTGAGTGAGAGTGAGTGAGTGAGAGTGAGTGAGTGAGAGTGAGTGAGTGAGAGTGAGTGAGTGAGAGTGAGTGAGTGAGAGTGAGTGAGTGAGAGTGAGTGAGTGAGAGTGAGTGAGTGAGAGTGAGTGAGTGAGAGTGAGTGAGTGAGAGTGAGTGAGTGAGAGTGAGTGAGTGAGAGTGAGTGAGTGAGAGTGAGTGAGTGAGAGTGAGTGAGTGAGAGTGAGTGAGTGAGAGTGAGTGAGTGAGAGTGAGTGAGTGAGAGTGAGTGAGTGAGAGTGAGTGAGTGAGAGTGAGTGAGTGAGAGTGAGTGAGTGAGAGTGAGTGAGTGAGAGTGAGTGAGTGAGAGTGAGTGAGTGAGAGTGAGTGAGTGAGAGTGAGTGAGTGAGAGTGAGTGAGTGAGAGTGAGTGAGTGAGAGTGAGTGAGTGAGAGTGAGTGAGTGAGAGTGAGTGAGTGAGAGTGAGTGAGTGAGAGTGAGTGAGTGAGAGTGAGTGAGTGAGAGTGAGTGAGTGAGAGTGAGTGAGTGAGAGTGAGTGAGTGAGAGTGAGTGAGTGAGAGTGAGTGAGTGAGAGTGAGTGAGTGAGAGTGAGTGAGTGAGAGTGAGTGAGTGAGAGTGAGTGAGTGAGAGTGAGTGAGTGAGAGTGAGTGAGTGAGAGTGAGTGAGTGAGAGTGAGTGAGTGAGAGTGAGTGAGTGAGAGTGAGTGAGTGAGAGTGAGTGAGTGAGAGTGAGTGAGTGAGAGTGAGTGAGTGAGAGTGAGTGAGTGAGAGTGAGTGAGTGAGAGTGAGTGAGTGAGAGTGAGTGAGTGAGAGTGAGTGAGTGAGAGTGAGTGAGTGAGAGTGAGTGAGTGAGAGTGAGTGAGTGAGAGTGAGTGAGTGAGAGTGAGTGAGTGAGAGTGAGTGAGTGAGAGTGAGTGAGTGAGAGTGAGTGAGTGAGAGTGAGTGAGTGAGAGTGAGTGAGTGAGAGTGAGTGAGTGAGAGTGAGTGAGTGAGAGTGAGTGAGTGAGAGTGAGTGAGTGAGAGTGAGTGAGTGAGAGTGAGTGAGTGAGAGTGAGTGAGTGAGAGTGAGTGAGTGAGAGTGAGTGAGTGAGAGTGAGTGAGTGAGAGTGAGTGAGTGAGAGTGAGTGAGTGAGAGTGAGTGAGTGAGAGTGAGTGAGTGAGAGTGAGTGAGTGAGAGTGAGTGAGTGAGAGTGAGTGAGTGAGAGTGAGTGAGTGAGAGTGAGTGAGTGAGAGTGAGTGAGTGAGAGTGAGTGAGTGAGAGTGAGTGAGTGAGAGTGAGTGAGTGAGAGTGAGTGAGTGAGAGTGAGTGAGTGAGAGTGAGTGAGTGAGAGTGAGTGAGTGAGAGTGAGTGAGTGAGAGTGAGTGAGTGAGAGTGAGTGAGTGAGAGTGAGTGAGTGAGAGTGAGTGAGTGAGAGTGAGTGAGTGAGAGTGAGTGAGTGAGAGTGAGTGAGTGAGAGTGAGTGAGTGAGAGTGAGTGAGTGAGAGTGAGTGAGTGAGAGTGAGTGAGTGAGAGTGAGTGAGTGAGAGTGAGTGAGTGAGAGTGAGTGAGTGAGAGTGAGTGAGTGAGAGTGAGTGAGTGAGAGTGAGTGAGTGAGAGTGAGTGAGTGAGAGTGAGTGAGTGAGAGTGAGTGAGTGAGAGTGAGTGAGTGAGAGTGAGTGAGTGAGAGTGAGTGAGTGAGAGTGAGTGAGTGAGAGTGAGTGAGTGAGAGTGAGTGAGTGAGAGTGAGTGAGTGAGAGTGAGTGAGTGAGAGTGAGTGAGTGAGAGTGAGTGAGTGAGAGTGAGTGAGTGAGAGTGAGTGAGTGAGAGTGAGTGAGTGAGAGTGAGTGAGTGAGAGTGAGTGAGTGAGAGTGAGTGAGTGAGAGTGAGTGAGTGAGAGTGAGTGAGTGAGAGTGAGTGAGTGAGAGTGAGTGAGTGAGAGTGAGTGAGTGAGAGTGAGTGAGTGAGAGTGAGTGAGTGAGAGTGAGTGAGTGAGAGTGAGTGAGTGAGAGTGAGTGAGTGAGAGTGAGTGAGTGAGAGTGAGTGAGTGAGAGTGAGTGAGTGAGAGTGAGTGAGTGAGAGTGAGTGAGTGAGAGTGAGTGAGTGAGAGTGAGTGAGTGAGAGTGAGTGAGTGAGAGTGAGTGAGTGAGAGTGAGTGAGTGAGAGTGAGTGAGTGAGAGTGAGTGAGTGAGAGTGAGTGAGTGAGAGTGAGTGAGTGAGAGTGAGTGAGTGAGAGTGAGTGAGTGAGAGTGAGTGAGTGAGAGTGAGTGAGTGAGAGTGAGTGAGTGAGAGTGAGTGAGTGAGAGTGAGTGAGTGAGAGTGAGTGAGTGAGAGTGAGTGAGTGAGAGTGAGTGAGTGAGAGTGAGTGAGTGAGAGTGAGTGAGTGAGAGTGAGTGAGTGAGAGTGAGTGAGTGAGAGTGAGTGAGTGAGAGTGAGTGAGTGAGAGTGAGTGAGTGAGAGTGAGTGAGTGAGAGTGAGTGAGTGAGAGTGAGTGAGTGAGAGTGAGTGAGTGAGAGTGAGTGAGTGAGAGTGAGTGAGTGAGAGTGAGTGAGTGAGAGTGAGTGAGTGAGAGTGAGTGAGTGAGAGTGAGTGAGTGAGAGTGAGTGAGTGAGAGTGAGTGAGTGAGAGTGAGTGAGTGAGAGTGAGTGAGTGAGAGTGAGTGAGTGAGAGTGAGTGAGTGAGAGTGAGTGAGTGAGAGTGAGTGAGTGAGAGTGAGTGAGTGAGAGTGAGTGAGTGAGAGTGAGTGAGTGAGAGTGAGTGAGTGAGAGTGAGTGAGTGAGAGTGAGTGAGTGAGAGTGAGTGAGTGAGAGTGAGTGAGTGAGAGTGAGTGAGTGAGAGTGAGTGAGTGAGAGTGAGTGAGTGAGAGTGAGTGAGTGAGAGTGAGTGAGTGAGAGTGAGTGAGTGAGAGTGAGTGAGTGAGAGTGAGTGAGTGAGAGTGAGTGAGTGAGAGTGAGTGAGTGAGAGTGAGTGAGTGAGAGTGAGTGAGTGAGAGTGAGTGAGTGAGAGTGAGTGAGTGAGAGTGAGTGAGTGAGAGTGAGTGTGTGAGAGTGAGTGTGTGTGTGTGAGAGAGAGAGTGTGTGTGTGTGTGTGAGACCTCTCTCGGCGGGAGTGATCTCTGGCTTGATCTCTCCGTTTCTGACGTTCGTAATCTCGTCGTGATTTGTTGTCCTCCTGCCACTGTCTCTTCCTTCTCTCATCTTCTCGCTCCTTCTCTTTGTCTTTTGTGCGTATGTGTTTCCCTGCTGTAACACAACACAGACAAGAATTAGCCAAGCCATTTCTAGTGATAATTGAAGTGAAATGAAGTGAAGGTATCTTTCCACCTGAGATTTTGAATAGCTCTTGATTAGTGATTTTATTATTATTTTTGGCTGCTGCAGGTTTTTGTAGTCTGACACAAACCCAAGCTCTATGGGTCAAGCAGATTAACCAAAGTTTAATTCATAAACAGTTCATGAATGAAAATCTTTAAATGAAAATTTCTGGCCACATAAATAAATAAAATTCAGCCAGTGGCCAGTGCTGAAAATCCTAGATTTATTGATATTGGCATCCATTTTTTTCGCAAACGTTTGATTTTCTGGGATGTATTTTACATTGCTGCCGAAATTCTGCAGTTTTGTCACTAACAATGTTATCGTGGGCAGGTTTGTCTGGTAAGGTGCAGACCTCCTTCTGCAGAAACGCTCCTGCGCCTCCTCTTGTCCTTCCTCTTCTCCTCTTTTCTGTGGTAGGATTTGTCTTTTCGTGTCATCTGCTGCGGGGGTTTGATGGCCAGAGACTCGTCCTCCTCTCCTCTGCAGAAACACATTGAATATCAGCCGATCAAACACACACAGAACTCGTCCTCTCACACCGCAATGAGATTCATGAGCCGTTGTTAACAGTCCCATACTGCACTAGCATTAAACCTCTCACAAACCTGTCCTCAGTCGAGTCTTCCCGTGTGTAGGGTGAATTCTTTATTGTTATTTCCATCCTGTGGTCTCGTAGCTCTCCTTCCTCCGGAGTGTCCCGTTTGGATTCCCGATCATCCGTCTGCCAGAAACAAATCATTCGACAGAGAAAAAGAGCATTTAGGACATTAGCAATCATTCACTCTCATGGAGCATTGTGAATTATGTAATCCGTCTCACTACTCTCTCAATAACACATTTAGATGAAACAGTCAGGGATAATGCATGTAACATAATAAGGCGTGCTGTTATCAGAAAATATTTCACGATAAACTTCAAATATGTTGTTTGCATGCTCATAATCTGATTATATTGCTTAATTGTCCTGTTGTGTTTTGGACAATGCGATATCAATAAATACTACTTAAACTAAGTGCAATTAACGTTATATAGATGCTATTCATAATTATTTGTATGTGTTTGTGCCTCAGTGTGCAAATATTCACTACAAGCATCCATGAAAAAAAAAAATTAAGAAGTAAATATATGGGTCAAACTGAGCCCAAACACAGAAGTAGCAGCCAGTGTTTGAACAGGACAGGAGGGCTACTGGTTCAAACCAAGCCTGCTGCATGTATATGAACGCCACGGTTTATATTTCTCCAGCTGATGATCATGAACTCACGTTCTTTGAGCGTTTAGGGTCACTCTTCTCTTCCAGCTCTCGTCTGCGTTTCTTCTCTTGTAAGATCTCGTCTAATGTCTTAACTTTCCAGGTTTCCTTTTCGTCCCCCATCAGCTCCAAATCACCTCCCACTGCAAAGCACAGGAGCAGACACTCTTACAGTCATGTCACCCTGCTGCTGCAGCCCAGTCTCACCCACTGCTTCACAGAAGTGATCAGGATCAGCTCTTTACAAACACAAACTCCTGTTTTTGGACGTGTAACGTTAACTTACCGTGATAATGAATGTGATTCTGTGTGAGTGAGTGAGTGAGTGAGTGAGTGAGTGAGTGAGTGTGTGTGTGTGTGAATGAGTGAGTGTGTGTGTGAGAGAGTGAGTGAGTGAGAGAGAGAGTGTGTGTGAGTGTGTGAGTGTGAGTGAGTGAG